CATACTTTTCAGTAAGTTTTTTTTTAATAACTTTTTCGAGTTATTTTATATCTTAATCTGACATATTTCGATATAAAATTTAAATTAAAATATTTCTAAAAATATTAAGTTCTGGATAATCTTACCGTAATACTTTTATGATTAGAATAATGAGAATCAAGTGGTATAAAGAAAACGCATAATTGTTAAAAAAGTACATTGTAAATTGCATACTTTTTCTTCAAATAATGGGTTTTTTACACGTATTGATTTGTTTTATTATTCTGTGCATAAAAATATTACAGTAAGATTATTGATAACTAAATATTTTAAGAGATTTTAGATTTTATATCAAAATATGTCATATTTCTCTCTCTCTCTCTTTCTTTCGTGTTTGCGAAATTTTCGTAGTGCAACTTGGGGAAGTCGAATTCGTCGAACCTTGACACCTGGTGCAAGGAATTCCCGTAGCGCAACTCGGAGAAGTCGAATTTGTCGACTCTTTGCACCTAGTGCGAAAAATTCCTGTAGCGCAACTCACAAAAGTCAAATTCGTTGACCCTTGATACCTGGTGCAAAGAATTTTCGTAGCGCAACTCGGGGAAATTAAATTCGACGACCTTTGGCACCAGGTGCAAAAATTCTTGTAGCGCAACTCGCAAAAGTCGAATTCGTCAAACCTTGACACCTGGTGCAAGGAATTCCCGTAGCGCAACTCGGGGAAGTCGAATTCGTCGACCCTTTGCATCTAGTGCGAAAAATTCCTGTAGCGCAACTCGCGAAAGTCGAATTCGTCGACCCTTGATACCTGGTGCGAGGAATTTTCGTAGCGCAACTCGGGGAAATTGAATTCGACGACCCTTCGGCACCAGGTGCGAAAAATTCTCGTAGCGCAACTCGCAAAAGTCGAATTTGTCGAACCTTGACACCTGGTGCAAGGAATTCCCGTAGCGCAACTCGGGGAAGTCGAATTCGTCGACCCTTTGCACCTAGTGTGAAAAATTCCTGTAGCGCAGTTCGCGAAAGTCGAATTCGTCGACCCTTGACACCTGGTGTGAGGAATTTTTGTAGCGCAACTCGGGGAAATTGAATTCGACGACCCTTGGCACCAGATGCGAAAAATTCTCGTAGCGCAACTCGCAAAAGTCAAATTCGTCGAACCTTGACACCTGGTGCAAGGAATTCCCGTAGCGCAACTCGGGGAAATCGAATTCGTCGACCCTTTGCACCTAGTGCAAAAAACTCCTGTAGCGCAACTCGCGAAAGTTGAATTCGTCGACCCTTGACACCTGGTGCGAGAAATTCCCGTAGCGCAACTCGGGGAAGTCGAAATCGTCGACTCTTGGCACCTGGTGCGAGAAATTCCCGTAAATTTTAATGATAATGATAATACTCTGGGCCCCGTAAATTCTTCATTCGTCCCTGCGGACAGAGGAGAAGAATAAGGAGACGACGTTTCTTAATTTTTTGCATTACCAACATCACTTTTTGACCGCTTGTATCTCTGAAACGGCTGGACCAATTTAAATTTTTTTGGCTTAAATTAGTCGTGGCGATGCCGCCTTTAAGGATATACTATGTGTTTTTATAAAATTTTTTATATTTTAGTTGCTACAAACCCCCGAAAAGTCGACTTTGTGCGCGCAGGATAAGAGACTTAGTAGTGTCATTTTCTGAACTTTGCCAGAGATTCTTTTCCTGACTTATAGCGTTTTCGAATAAACGGGGTTTGAACGATCTAGGGTTGATCAATCACTATTTTACTATAAATGCAAGTCTTTCATTGGTGGAGAGGTTGCAATGACGTCATTAACCAATCTTGGGTCGTTCAAATCCTGTATAATCGAAAACGCTATTAGTAGTGTCGTTTTTTGAACTTGGCCGGAGACACTACCGCGTCGACTACCTGGGGTAGACTACAATGAAACGCCCCAGATGCTACCTGGGGTATATCATATTAAGAATTTCTTTCACTCACGGCAAGGGAAGGTTTGGTGGGGTTGTTTACATACGCTCTGTAGCCTACGTGCTCTATGTCCTCTCTCCCTCACTTCCACGCTTTCTCTCTCGCACGCGTTATCGGCACGCACATTCCTTTCCCCTACTCCTAAATCACATTTGAATCCTTCGACACGACCAGTGATGCCAATTCGAGCTCGCTGGTACCATGGGTACCGTAGTGGAGGGGATACCCACACAAGCGAAATCGTTGACGTCACATGTCCGTGTGGCTCGGCGAGCACACAGTGGATATCCCCTCCATTACGGTACCCATGGTACCAGCGAGCTCGAATTGGCATCACTGGACACGACGTTATACGAATGAATCTTTGCTCCTGAATTGTTACTATTCGCACGACGGCACTTGAGCGAGGCGGACCGTTCGCGCGTTATTCCCTCCCCCCACCCCCCACAACTACCCCCAATTCTTATTACTTCACACAGTTTTTCACCTTCCTCCCCCTTTCTACCATTACCTGTTGCGTACATGGCAACGTGTCGAACGCGTATTCCGTGCGATGAGCGATATTTGAGTTTAACTTTCATTCTAATATGACAAAATACGCGTCGGGAGTGTCGGCTAAAATATCGTATGATTATTGTAACATCGTTCCGCTGTAATTTCGCAGTAATATAAAACGCGGAGTGCCGTTTAAAGTGCCGTGTGCTTTTCATATTCGCGTCGCGATCGCGTGTAAATACTTTATAGACCACTGAGCGGAGGAGGAGTTATAGACTTTTACCGAGAGTTATAGCGAATCTATAGATGAACGCATTTTTGCTGTATGACAATGTTACGCCGTGCCCGTGACTCAAAGATCTCGTCGCGGGCCAACGCAGGATTCGGGATCCGTCGTGTAGGGCCAAGGGGGTTGATCCAAGGGAGATAATTATTGAACGATGTTCAATGAGAAATAAAATATCTTTATTCACTTAGCACTCGCGTACACTTTATTTAACGGCTTCCTCACAGTCGTTACGATCGCGTAAGATACAAACTCGGAGTTCGCGATACCGACGTGCAGCTCGTGCTTAGATCAAATTAAAAACCCGTGGTGACGATCGAGTCACCTCTTTTATACAGATCAGTATCAAGGTTAGCAACGTCTGCTTTCCGTGAATGCTGATCTACTTCGCTTGTTTGTGAGGCAATCCGCCGATCGTTTCCTCATGCGGTTAACGCCTCAGCGTTTAATTATAATCGATTGTTACTTGTCTAAAGAATAGCATTGGTCAATATCTTTGTTAATTTTAAATACCTTATTCGTCTTTCTAAGAACGTGCTTCGA